TTAATTTATTATATTTTAAAAATTACATATAAAAGTATTAAATTAAGAAAGGAAGATAAAATCTTTATAAAACTATAATTTTCTTAAAATTTTATGTTTTATTTAAAATTAACTAATTTAAAAATTTGCGAGACATATAATTTCACTAATCTTTGTTATGTAAAATATATTTTTGGAAACAAACTTGTATAGTTTTTTTTAAGGAAATTGAACAAAGTGGATGAAATATCCGTAATATCCGTAAAATTTCACAAATATTATCCGTAATTTTTTGAAACAAAGCAAATCGCAAAATTAAATATCCGTAAAATACAAAGCAAACCACAAATACTTAGAATTATAATAGTATTCGATCCATGCCACCCCTAGTTTTATCTATGAATATGTCAGCTAAGTAAAGATCATATAATTATATAATTAAGTGCACACTGGTCCTAACTTTGTGAAATCCTCTTGGCAAACTTAAATAGATTTCAACTAAAGAGAATAATATACCATGTTAGTATAATATGCCTCTCTGTAAGAAGTGTCAGAAAATTAATCCAGAAACATTGTTAAATTTTCCAGTTTTAGATTCTAGTAATGCTTAAAGGCAAGTTTTGTTCGCCTTGAGTTATTTTTAATGTAATTCAAAAGAATTCTGTTTTTTTTTGTGTGTACTATCTTTTATAAACACACTGGAACCAAACTTATTAGTCCTGGTCCACATAAAATTATTAGATAGAAGACAACAGCCTAAGACCATAGTCTGTTTTGACACATTTTCGATAATTTAGTTAGAAGTTCGCAGAGAAAAAAAAGAGTCTATTTAGTTAAAAGCTTACTAACAAAATATCAATAGATTAGTGTAGTGGCTAATAAGAAACTTACTCTAACTTAACATTTTTCTTTTTTTTTGGAGTCGTTTGTGGACTTCTGGGAGTCCCAAACCAACGTCCTCATGCTTTTTCTAACCATGTCATTTCTTCCTCTTAAAGGTTTTTTTTTTGTGAATTTCTATTCTCCAGGTCTTTTGTGAGTGTATGTATATATAATGTTTCATTACTCACTATTAGCTAAGAAGTTGTATAAACAGTTTTTGATGAATAGTTCTAACATCTCAAATTATATTTTTTAACACATTTTAACATGCAGAGGAAGTGAGTTCTTCAATGCATATATTGCGTTTACTTAATTTGAGCTTAAATGAAGACATATATAATTGATAGGTGGTTAAACACCACCCACCACGTTGAGTTTAATTAAAAATAGATAAAGTTCTAAATTATAGTGCATAACCAAACGAAAAAGACGACATAAAACATAAGGAAATGTAATGGTGATTTATCTTTTCTAGGTGGATCTAATCTTAATCGTGTCCCTTTCTTTGGGTCAACAATCTGATTGTTTGATGCTGAACGCCCTCCTTCTGGTACAACAGATGCAGGGGCAGTCCTAGGATTGGATATTAGTAGGGTCAGCAAAATTAAAATGTCATTGGTGGGAGTCGAACCCAGATTTTTGAGGGTTCAGAAGCTGTGTTTTATCAATTCTGCTGCCTAATCTGTGTTGTTTTCCTATACGAATCAGGATATTATTGACCTGAACAATCTCACATGGCAGTGATGTGGCAGAAAATACAACCCATATTGACTGATTAAATTGGTTAATATGGCATAGTTCATACTCTCTTAATAAGAACTTTTAGTTATAGTAGATTGTTATGCCTCCTCTTCCTTCAATTTTTTATTCTACGGTAATCTAATACATTGACAGAAACAAAAATATTCTTTTCATATAAAGGAAAGAGAAACATTCTTCAGTTAAACAAACAAATTTGGTCAAGAATTGACTCGTCTTCTACAACGAATCATAAACTTAGTTATTATTTTTATGAGAATAGCTTTTGTTGAATAATTTTTCAAAGTTTAGGGGTTTCTTCCCGAGTTAAAAAGGACACTCACTGATGGGATTCACGTGGAGACAAAACATTTTTTTTATTTGTCAGCTGCCCATTTTGTTTAGATCAAGTGGTGATCATACGAGTCGATTCTCCGCGGAGCATCTCCGTATGGCCTGGTCTGATCTATATGGGAAAAAATATATCCTTTCCTCCTGGCTTCTTTTACTAGTGCATCCGCTTTGGTGTTCCTACTCCGAGGAATATGTGACAGACCCACCTCTTCGAAGCCCTCCTGAAGCTGCTGGGCCATCTCAATCTCCGTCGCAAAAGTTGGCCACTCCTCCGGGTTAGTCAACATGTCAACTAAGTTCGAACAATCCGTCTCAATCCGTATCGAGATTACCCTCAACTGTCTCAAACATGAGACTGCCCAGATTAGACCTTCCATCTCTGCATGCAAGGTAGAGTTGCTCCTTTTGCATGCTCACAGACCGAAACGTTCAGAGCCCATTTGATCCATAAGACTCCATCCTAAGCCATTAACACTGCCATTATAGATCCATGAGACATCAATTTGGCAACAGAACATATAGGTGCGTCAAAACACAACAACGCCCATATGCACAGCTCTTAGCCACCTCGACTTTCTTTTGTTCTTTAATTTTTAATTCCTTTATTGATTTTTCTTATTATCCATTTTCCAACGAACACGTACTTTATTTTACAGAATTAATTCAGTAAATGACAAATTTAAGAAAATTATTTTGTAAATAAAACTTATAACGCTGACAACCTTCAACAATAGTTTAGGTCGACTCTATATCATTGATTACGCGAGCCAAATCGTTTCAGTTATAGTAGTTAATTTAGTTGTTGTAGCAAAATGTTTTTTTTTTCTTTTAAAGTGCTGCTAGGAGTTTAACAACTTATACAACAAGCATTTGATATCTAGAAAAAGTAAACAATTTATAAATATCTACAGAAAAATGTATTGCAAAATATAAGTTACAAAAAAAAATGTATTGCAAAATAAATAACATATTCCACAATGTTTAATACAGTTTAACAATGTGTGTTCGTCCATTGTATTATTTGGACTGAAAAGCTCATTACACCTTCACTGCCATGTAGATAAACACAGAAGGAGGTGTTTTATGGAATGTTAACTTATTTACACAAAACACAATGTACTAAGTAGTTGTTTGGCACGGTGGCACCCAACATCTAAAATAACCAAACTCAAATGTTCAACACTCCAACACTAGACTTGGAACTTGGGTTTCCTATATGGGGATCTTCAATACACACATATCATTTAGAGAGACGTTAAGATATCATGAAGACTTAAACTTTATATTTCTTCCTTTGATCTTAATTGGTCGAAGATCTCTTGTTGCGCTCAACTTTGTCTAACACGTTCACATTTTTATAAGCACCCAAAACTTTCTTTTGGAATCGATTCTTTAAAAAAAATCACTTTATTTAATTTAATTTTCTCTCTACACAAACTTTAGTTAATCAAAAGAAATCAAAACAGCCAAATCTTGATTTATTTTCGGGAAAATTGTCATTTAAATCACGAACTTTCAAATTTGGTTGAAAAAAATCATGAACTTTCCCTTGGACCATTTAAAGCACCAAGTTAGTTTGAATAGCCATTTTAAACCTCAATTTAATTTGACTAAACCAAATCAAGCACGACGTTAACTCAGTTAACGGATTGATTAAACGGTGTTAATCTCCACCTCTAATCATCCGTTAAGTCCAAACGACGTCGTTTTAAAATTTTAAAAAATATTGCATCTGATGGGAATTGAACCAGTGACCGAATGAAACTCGTTTTGTAAACAGAACCACTAGACCACTTGCAAATTTCTTAAATTGAATGATTACTAATAGATATTATTATGAAACCTCCAAATCATTTTCTCCCACCCTAAATCCCTAAATGATTTTATAAATGTTAAAACTTATAAATAACTTAATAATTAAAAAAATAGTTAATTTTAGTAAAAATATTAAAACTTATAATAATTATTAAGTTATTTATAAGTAGTGTTAAAAATGTTAAATAACAAAAAAATTTTAATCATTAACTATTATTAATTATTCAAATTTTCGTTATTATACTTCATAATTAGTTATTCAATAATAATTAATAATTAAATAATTTTATTCAATAATTAATAAATACTTAATTATATTATTGAATAATTAATTATTAAGTATAATAACAAAAATTTGAATATTCAATAATACTTAATGATTAAAATATTTTGTTATTTAATATTTTTAATAATACTTATAAATAACTTAATAATTATTATAAGTTTTAATATTTTTAATAATATTCAATAATTTTTTTAATTATTAAGTTGTTCATAAGTTTTAATATTTATAAAAATCATTTAGGAATTTAGGGTGGGAGAAAATGATTTGGGGGTTTCATAATAATATCAATTAGTATTCATTTAAGTTAAGAAAATTGCAAGTGGTCTAGTGGTTCTGATTCCATAACGAGTTTTCCTTCGGTCATGGGTTCGATTCCCTTCGGATACAATCTTTTTAAAAATCTTAAAACGACATCGTTTGGACTTAACGAGACTTAACGGAAGATTAGAGACGGAGATTAACACCGTTTAATCAATCCGTTAACCGAATTAACGTCGTGCTTAATTTGGTTTAGTCAAACTAAATTGAGGTTTAAAATGGCTATTCAAACTAAGTTGGTGCTTTAAATGGTCCAAGAGAAAGTTCATGTTTTTTTTCAACCAAATTTGAAATTTCGTGATTTAAATGACAATTTTTCCATTTATTTTCCCATTTTGGGAACTATACAATAAAATATATTATCAACGTTGTTAAATTATACTACTGAATCAGCACCGCCACGCCAGGTCACAGTCTAAACAACTCTCCATCATCAGGGGTAGTTTCGGCTTAAGGAAAAAAGTTGCACACTTGCAGGCTTGCAGCTCATAACCGTTGTAAATCGAAAATCCCAAATCTACCCTTAAGGAGCCTTCGAGCAAATAACAAAGACGGTACCCCGAAATGTACATAAAGAGAAAGTTAAGGGTCCACAGTTATAATATAAAGTAAAAAAAAAAAAAACAGAATCCGCGCGAGCCACAGAGAACAGAGTAGAGAGAGAAAGAGAGAGAAGTTGCTTTAGAGACGTTGTCGGACTTCAAACCACTCTCAGTACCGGAATTTAGGAACTCCGTTTAAATCCGAAGCCTTCAAAAAAACAAAAAAGGATAAGCCTTTCCTTCTTCAGAGAGATTTTGGAGTAGTGGGTTTTCTATTTCTGGAGTTCTATTTCGTAAATTCAAGTGTTTTGAGTGGTTCAGTGAGAGAAAGTTATGATCTTTATTTGTTTCTGAGAAAATTAGGGAAAGATATGTCCACGCCTCTCAAAGTGTGGCAACGTTGGTCTACTAAGACGAATCCAGATTCTAATGGTAAGGGTCCAGAAATGGCGAGCCCAGTTACGGGTCGGGTCAGTGAGATCCAGTACGATGTTGATCCAAGAAGATTGCCTGATAAAGTCTCAGAGCTTGAAAAAGAGGTCAGCTTAAAATCTCTGATCTTTTGTTTGTTACTTTTTCTCTTTGTGTTCGGTTTTTTGCTTTATAAAACTTAGTTTCTTGTAATAAATTGGTCTGCTTGAAGTCCCTGAGGGTTTACTCTTAATTGCAACGCACGTGACATATATGTTGACTTTGTAACCAATGTTTGTGGCGTTTTATAGTTTTTACTGTTAGTGCTTCTGCTTGGTTTGGTCATATGAATTTTTTTTGCTTTTGAGTAACTGTTGATTTGTTGTTTTGCTGGAGAAGCTTTTTGAGTATCAACAGAGTATGGGTCTTGTTCTACTCGAGAAAAAGGAGTGGAGTTCTAAGTACGAAGAGCTTCAACTAGAGTTTGAAGATGCAAACGAGTGCCTTAGGAGAGAACGTAATGCGCATCTGGTTGCTATGGCAGATGTTGAGAAGCGGGAAGAGGGGTTGAGGAAAGCTCTGGGGATTGAGAAGCAATGTGCGCTTGATGTAAGAGTCTTCAACTTTCTATACTCTTCTTTATGTTTCTATGTAATAATTCCATTTATTTTCTGGAGATTTTTTAGTTACCTGTGTAGCAAATATTTCAGGCAGATGGTTCACTGATTTTAATTTTGAATAATTCTGATATGCGTATGTTTTCTCTAATTGAGTCATTTTTTTGCAAATTGATGCAGCTGGAGAAGGCTCTGCGGGAGCTACGCACTGAAAATGCGGAGGTCAAATTTACAGCTGACTCGAAGTTGGCTGAGGCAGATGCGTTGGTAAGAAGTGTTGAAGAGAAATCTCTGGAAGTTGAGGCAAAGCTGCGTGCTGTTGATGCAAGACTTGCTGAAGTTTGTAGGAAGAGTTCAGAGGTGGAGAGGAAGTCCAAGGAAGTGGAAGCTAGAGAAAGTTCTCTTCAAAGAGAGCGGTTTGCCTACATTGCTGAGTACGTATATATTTTTCTGCATGTTGAATAATTTGTCTTTGTGTCGATTCCTTGATTGTTTTGCTTTTTCTTTCCTCAGACGAGAAGCAGATGAGGCAACCTTGTCAAAGCAGAGGGAGGACTTGCGTGAATGGGAAAAGAAGTTGCAAGAAGGAGAAGAAAGAGTTGCTAAATCTCAAATGCTTGTGAAGCAGAGAGAGGACAGGGCAAATGAAAGCGATAAGATTATCAAGCAAAAGGGAAAAGAACTTGAAGAGGCACAAAAGAAGATTGATGCTACTAACCTTGCTTTGAAGAAAAAAGAAGATGATATCAGCTCAAGGATAAAAGCTCTTACTTTAAGGGAGCAAGTAAGCAAATTTTTTCTTGTAGTATTCTATTATTTTTTTAATGACCTTGGAATCTTGTCCATTTACTTACTTTTTCTTGATGTAGGAGATTGATGTGCTGAAGAAATCCTTAGAGACAAAAGAGCAAGAGCTACTAACTATGCAAGAGAATCTGGAGGCCAGAGAAAAGGCAAGCCATCTCTTCCTCTCACCCACACTCTCTCTACTATATAATGCAATATATTCTATCTGTATTAGTAGATAGTCTATTTTTGGGAAGGTTGTTAATATGACGTCTTTTTTTTGGCTAATTGACAGGTTGAAGTTCAGCAACTAATTGATGAACACCAAGCTAAACTGGAGGAAACACGGCGTGAGTTTGAGTTGGAAATGGAGCAGAAAAGAAAATCTATTGATGACAGCTTGAGGAGCAAGGTTGTTGAGTTGGAAAAGAGGGAGGCTGAGTGGAAGCACATGGAGGAGAAAGTTGCTAAACGTGAACAGGCATTAGATAAGAAACTGGAGAAGCATAAAGAAAAGGAAAAAGATTTTGAAGCAAGACTGAAAGGCATAAAGGGCAGAGAGAGAGCCTTGAAAAGCGAGGAGAAGGCACTGGAAACTGAGAAGAGAAAACTGGCCGAGGATAAAGAAAATATACTCAATCTTATAGCTGAAGTCGAGAAGATAAAGGCTGAAAACGAAGAACAGCTATCAGAAATTCATAAAGAGAAGGAAGAGCTTAGAGTTACTGAGGAGGAGAGGTCCGAGTATCTTCGTCTGCAAACTGAATTAAAGGAGCAAATAGAAAAGTGCAGGTCTCAGCAGGAGCTGCTTTCGAAAGAGGTTGAGGATTTGAAGGCACAAAGGGAGTGTTTTGAGAAAGAATGGGAAGAACTTGATGAGAGGAAAGCTGAGATTGAGACCGGACTAAAGAATATAACTGATCAGAAAGTAAAACTTGAGAGAAACAGTCACTTGGAGGAAGAAAGGTTGAAAAAGGAAAAGCAAGAAGCAAGTGACATCATGAAAAGAGAGCTAGAAACTCTTAAAGTGGCAAAAGCTTCATTTGCAGCTACTATGGAGCATGAGCGCTCGGTGATCTATAAGAAAGCTGAGAGCGAAAGGAGTCAACTGCTTCACGATATTGAAATGCTCAAAAGGAAACTCGAATTGGATATGCAGAGTAAACTGGAAGAAAGAGAGAGGGAGTTACAAGCCAAAGAGAAGTTATTTGAGGAAGAGAGAGAGAAGGAACTGAGCAATATTAATTACCTAAGAGACTTAGCTAGAAGAGAAATGACGGATGTGCAGATTGATAGACAGAGAATAGAGCTAGAAAAGCTGGAAATTGATGCTAGTAAAAACCATCTTGAAGAGCAGCAGACAGAGATTCGGAAAGATGTTGATGACCTTGTTGCCTTAACCAAGAAACTGAAGGAACAGCGGGAACAGTTTCTTAGCGAGAGAAATCGTTTCCTTACTTCCATGGAAAGTAATAGGAACTGCAATCCTTGCGGTGAACTGCTTTCAGAGCTCGCTCTTCCTGATATTGACAACCTGGAACTGCCTAATTTGTCAAAACTGGAAAACATTCTTGAGAACCAAGCACCAATGAGGGATACATCGCCAGCAGCTACCGCCTTAGGATTGCCAGTTCAAACTGGTGGGACAGTGTCATGGCTCCGGAAATGTACTTCAAAGATTCTTAAGTTGTCCCCAATAAAAATGGCAGAAACCTCTGGTACACTGAATTTTACTGACCAGGAACCTCAGTCTACTGAGCAAGCTAACGTGAACATTGGTCCAACAACTATGCTTCAGGCCGAATCTGAAAATGACACAAGAGAAGTTGAACTCGCCAATGCAGACTTGGACGGTGATCAAAGCAACATCGACAACAAGGCTCAAGAAGTTGCTGCAGATTCTTTGTCTAATCCAAATGCTGATGGTCAATCACGTATGAGAGGGAAAGCCAGAGTCATAAGAACACGCTCTGTCAAAGATGTTATAGAAGATGCTAAAGCTATCTATGGAGAATCTGTAGAATTCAATGAGCCTGATGATTCAACAGAGAATGTTGAGGACAGTGCTAAAGGAAATGATGAAAGCACTGGTGAACCTGCTCGTTCCGATAAAGGAGGTTCAAAGAATGGACGGAAACGTGGACGTATGGGTTCTCTGAGAACGTGTACTACCGAGCAAGATGGTAACGAGAGCGATGGAAAATCAGATAGTGTCACAGGAGGAGAACGTAAACGTGGGAAGAGGCAGCAAAAGGTTGCATCAGAACAACAACAAGAAGTGGTGGGACAAAGATATAATCTCCGGCGATCTACAAGGTTTGCTTAAAATCTCATTTACTTTTAAGCGCAGACACTGAGGATAATACGTTGGAGATGCTTATTAGTCTTCTTGTTCAGGCTGATCATTAACTGTTTTTACATTTTGGGTTGTTAGGGTGGCTGGAAAAACCGCACTTGGTAAGAAGAATGAAGAGACTGGTGGAGTGCAACAAGACGATGGTATTTACCATACTCAAACCACTGCTACAGAATCAGTAGGCGTTGCTATTAGCCATAATGGAGTAAGCACGAATGTGGTGGAGGTAAAATGCTCTAACCACTAAAGCTTCACCTCGTTTTTTTCCATTTTCTTGACTAATCTGTTTATTTAAATCTGTTTCAATAGCGGGAAGCCATGGCAATGTCTGAGGATACGGATGCTGGTTCGCCCAAAAGAATAGGCGAGAGTGGAGCAATGAGTGAAGAAGATGTGAACAAAACACCTCAAAGGGTTGACTCTGGAAACGAGTATGGTGATGAAGAAGATGAATCAGAATCAGAACATCCCGGGAAAGTCTCCATTGGTAAGAAGCTCTGGACATTCCTGACGACATAGCCCCCATCTTTGATCAGGATGTAGTTTGGCCTATGATGTTATAGAAGACGATATTTTGAGGATATTAATGTTTGTTCTATATCTGTAGTTATCTTAGGAGCTTTTTTGTGTTAACTTTGTGTGGATCTTTCTCACCAATGTGTAGTGATTTCTTTCTACCACTTTGTTGCTATCTTGTTAAGAGTATAATTAATTCTCAATTCTTTTGGTCTGTCTTAGATGAATATCTGATTTTATGAGAGTGGTCTCCCTGTAACCAGAAAGTGTTTGCATTTTATCTTTCTTTTTTTCTGTTTCTCTGGCTTGTTTAAACGATGATTAAGACATCATCAGTTCGTAGATATGTCAAATAAAGCGGGCTTGAAGATGGAGTTTAACAATTTGTGATGAAGTGTGAGATCTTATAGATTAGGTAGATGGAAGATTTGCAGTACAAACTGTACAATTGGTAATGGAGTGACAAATCTAGACAGAAACGAAAACGTAAGATGCAAATCAGAAGAATCTAACATCTCTCTTACCAAGATTATTCAAGCAATAAATTAAGCTATAGGCTTTATGGCCCGTTTTATTCTCTTTTATCGAACACTAACAGGAGGATCCTTAACAATAAGGCCAACAACACTATGAGCACTTTTGACAGAAATGGACAACTATTAGAACTGATGTCAGAAAAGGTTTTTATGATCTGTACATTTTCTTCTATAAGCAGCAGCATCACAAGCATAAGGAATGTACAAACAAAGTCCCCCCTGCTCTTCTTTAGAACCTCAAACCACTCCTAATGAAGTGCTCCTTCGTATCTCTGAGAACAGAAGAAAGTTGCATCAAGTTTAGAAAACGCTGGAGTTGCAGAGATGACTAAACTCATAAGAAACACCAGTGAAAAATTTACCTGCAGCGTGGTATGGAGCAAGTGGGATCTTGGCAATGGAATGCGTGAATATTTATCACCTGCCGAAGATTATTGCAAATCTTACAAGCTCCTCTCTTTTTGATCTCGCACACTACGTTGTGATTGAATAGTCTTTTAACATCATTGCAGTGCGGGTATGAGCACGAACCAGAGGCCACGGGTCTGCACTTATGTGCATGCAACAAAGCATCTATTATCCCAAGAGCCTGCAAGGAAGTTGCATAACTCAGAAAACAGGTAAAATATAAAAACCAAAGAAAAAGAAAGTTAGGTTTGTTTTCAAGAACATATACTCACCCCTACGGTTCTAGGCGGCGTCCCGTGCTTGGAAGGGGTCATTGGTAAGAGATGAAGCATACGAAGGACTGCGTTCTTGTTATAACATGCAGTGCAGACTCGATAACCCGAACAAATCAAACAAGAGTAGTAAATCGTTTTTGAAATATCCTTTTCGCAGGTCGTACATGTCACTTGAAAGAGGCTAGTGGAGTTCTGAGAGAGATGATGCTTGTCTGAAGAGTGAAGACCGTGAAGAATCATCATAGACGAATGCTTAGCGCGTCGGAGCGAGTCAAAGCTGTAGTTATGCTTTTGAGAAAAACTCAAGAACACTTGTCTGCTTTCGAACATACTGTTTTCTAGAGTGAGATCGTTATCCTCAGTTGTTGTAGATTGTATGCCGTTCACCTGAACCTTTGACAGTGAATGCTTCTCTTTGTCATTCACAGTATGTGTGTGTTCCCCAGGAAGCTCTTGTTCTGCATCATGGCATCTGTTTGCAATAAAGAAAGGGTTTTGTTAACATAACCAAAATAAATTACAGAGAGAGATAGAGATAAATAGAATTAGTTGTTTACCTTTCACATAGTTGAAGATTCTTGCACTTCCCACAAAACCATCTCAATCCTGACAATATGGCCTCTGAGCAGCGTGTGCATGAATAATTCAACTCCACCACCATGAAATCCTCCTTGTTTTGAGATATCAGTTTGTCAAGCTACACAAAAGTAAGAATAATTAAAGATTAAACACCCTGAAACATTTCAAATTTTAAGTGGCATTCAAAACGTAAATGATCATAACCTTTTGCATCATGAGAATGTTTTTAGCATCATCAACGTCAAGATCATCCTTACTTTTGACACCCTTTAGTGCTCTTCTAGAAAGCGATTTAACCTTCTTCTGCAACTCATCCTCGCTTTCTTTCTCAATTTCCTGAGTCAGGAACTCAGCATTATCGGACCAGAAAGATCCTTCAAAGTAAGGCAGACGCGCAGCTGTAATGTTGCATGTAGATTCTTCTGCCGAAACGAAGAACCGATCATACAAGTTTGTAACACTCGTCACTACCCTCTGCTCGGTTGCTTTATCCAGCAATGACTGATACCTGCAATAATGTTTACAATGTTAAAATCCAATTTCCTCACAAAAAAAATGACCAAACATAAAAGGAAGAAAAGACTGACCATTGGCGAAGTTTCTTAGTGTTGGGTGTTTGCTGAGTCTTAGGATGAGAATACATGATGTAGTCTTCTCCTTTTCGAGGTGGACACGCCCATATATAACCCGTAGTGAAACCCCGAATCTTACAATAATCAAGATATCCAATCTATAAAAGTAAAAACATGTCAAATGTAAATAACAGCTTAGGTTCTAAACATGTGTTCGAAACAAAGTAAAATAATGAATGGATTACCAATATTTCATGATAAACGAAAGTTCGAAGAGCTTCCCCTGAGAATGTCACCCTCTCGGGTCTAAAGTACTTGACCGAATCGAGATACAAGATGTATATGCTGCGTTGGTTTGGTTGGCTACATTCTGATCCAAACTCTTGGACAAACAAGGCAAAGATGCATATATCAACTCCTTCAACTTTCTGGAACAAAAGAATGACCTGAAAACAATCGAAATTAGTAACAACAAAGCATGGTTTGAGATACACAACAGAATCTAAAGAAGAATATCTCACCTTTGATCTGTAAGGGAATTCACTAGGGTAGTGTTCTTTGTGAAGCAAATCGGCAAATGTTTTGTTGACGTGTGAGGTTTTGTCAGCTGAAAACACGACTCTGATTGTAAGGTCGTCTGGTTCTGGTACCTGTAAAGAAGAAGAAACTAGCTCAGTATAAAGAAACGAAAAACCAAGTTTCAGACTGAATCTCAGAAACCATATCACTCTTACATCATCAACGCTCTTCCCAGTAGCCTTTGCCGTTTGGTGTCTTTCTTCTTTGAGGCGTCTGGATAGCCTCCGTTCTATAAAGTGGCTGAGGATAGTTTCAGGCAAATCTTTCGCCCCCAGATCTGTATCCGTGCTACTGTTACGCTCCTTTAACAAACAGTAGGGACAAATGTAGTCTGCTGTTTTGTCAATGTCTTTTTGTTGGTTGTAGAGACCACATATCTGATGTTGCCACTTTTCGCAAGATTCACAACAAACCCACTGCACCATGTAAAGAAAAAGTAACGTAATTTGTAAAACTTAATGCACTGAGAAAGAAATATAGGGAGAGAGAGAGAGAGAGCTGAGGTTTACCTCTTCTATGTGTTGATTGTCAGCGTTATTCTTTTTAACCATATTGGCTTTTATGACACTGACTCCAAGTAACGTGAACGTTTTTTTACAGCGGTTGTAACAGCAATTGCAGATTTGATGTTGCGCATCACTTATTTTTTCCTCGGGGATGTAATATGAAGATTTGTCTTTGATTCGGCGGGGGCAAAGAGAACAGTAGATTGGTTGTGCTGGTAAGACGAGTGTGCCATTGCCACACAATTGACACATATCCTTTAGGTCACAAGTTTCTCCCTGCGGAAAAGAAAAGGTTAATAAGCAAACAAATCAAAAGACGAGCAAAAAAAAAAGAATGGATAAAGCCAAACAATTGTTACCTGAGTACTTCCCTCCTTGAGGCTCTTAATATGCAACTTTATTTCTTCCTCTGTGAAACGTTCCACCAGTGAGACACCTCTCTTGTTACGCTTTTCCAGAGGCATTGAGTCAGCATTAACCTCACACTTAGTATGTTCACCACATTCCATCGGCACAACAACGTCAACTCCAGGTACCAGTTTCTCCTGCTTCAGCGGCTTTTCCTCGGCTTGAGTATATCTTTCGATGGAAAAGAAGTCGTCAAAAGAATAAACCCGGGTTGGCTGTGGTCTTGCAGGTTTCACACTTTTGCTAGTACCAAGATCCTGAACATGCTTACTCTCAAAAGGAGAATTGTCCATCACATCTACCTTGGTTATGTCAGAGCAACCGCTAAACGTCTCAGGGCTATGAACTAGCGTTCTAGGTGTACTAAAACATCTTCCAGCACATGAAGAAACCTCCTCAAATCCTTTCATCGGAGTGGTAACATTCTTCTCTACAACGAAACTCGGATCCGGACATAGCTGAAGAGAAGGGAGTCTAGATGAATCGTTCCAAGGAGGATACTCAGCTCTCAGTCTCTTTGATGGATAATCACCAAACTCTGACTGACATATCTCCCCAAAAAACTCCACATTCTGTTCATTACCAGACCCAAAATTCAACTGTCTAGGTACTCCCATATGATAATTAAATCTTCTTGCCAAGTACTGGGCCTTTCTATCAGACGCAACATCCAAATCAGGTAGCATGTTCAACTGCTGATTGAAAACATGAATCTCTGGTTGGTTAGGATTGGTGTTGAGATAGGAAGGCATCATTCCCCTATACCATTCAGGTGGCGGCAGCATTAGGTTATAATCAACTGATTCTGAACATTACCTGAACATTACAAACAAAGGAGCATTAGGATTATGGTCTCACAAGAAACAAAACACAGAGACATTAAGAAAGAAACTCACCAAAACCAGATAAAGAATTAAAAGAAAATGAAACTTGGAACGGAATAACATAATTATTAATTAGGCAATTCTAGGTTTATTTTGCTTGTTGCACAAGTTAAACTAAGTGATGGGATCAAGACTCAACACTAACAAAAAAAAACAACAAGGATCCATAAATCCACCTGAAACGAATCAATCAAATTCACAAAGCTAAAAGCTAATCAGTAATCTCTAAAACAAAATTAGCTTCAGAAACTACTTAAAGGTTGAAACTTTTTACAAAACCCCCAAAATTGAGTAACATTCTCCCTAAAAAAACCTAAATTTTGGAAGCTCGAAACCCTAATAATTGAAACCCTAATTACATACGTAAGCTACAATGCATCCTCCTCCGACAAAACCCCCCTTACTAATCGGTAAAGACAAGTAACGAAATCGCACAAAGAAGAACCCCGACAAAACCCTAAAATCGAGAACAGAGAGGAAGAAGAAGGAACCTATTGATCAAAATTCGAATAGTTCGCGCGCGAGAGAGAGAGTAGTGGAGGAGAAGACAAAGGAGAAAGATATGTTGAAAGTGAAAGACTTTCGTTTGATCTCTCTCTCTTGTTGCTGTTTAGGGTTTCGGCAATTTCTTAATCTTAAAATATTGTTTCTTTGACTTAATTTATAGCAACTTTATCTCTAGTTTTGAGGGTTTCTCTCTACTTAATGTCTTTTTGCGATTTTTTTTAATGTATTAGATTCGGTTATTTCCTAATCACTTTCGGTTTACTATTTTGGTTTTTCACTATTCAATCTAATTATTTTCATAATTGTATCTATTTATTATCCCAAACTTACTGTTCTTATCATTTACACTTGTCTTTCTTTTTTAGTTTAGGATTAATGTTTGTTTATTTGTTTTATTAAATGTACATATTAATTTTCATGTCACAGTATTCTATTTAGTTGTTAAGTGAGTTTTATTTCACTTTAACATTAGAGAAATCTAATCACTGGATATATAGAAATCATACATACATCAATATAACTGTACACAAATATAAATATTAACAAAATAAATTAATAAATAATTCTTGAATCCTTTTGTAATTTATATATAAAATTTGTTGATAAAATTATATTATTTTAATTAGACATGTGTGTTTGAAAGTATAATGTTAAGTCGGATTAGTTATCGTTTGGATATATTAGATTGCGTCAACTTCTCTAAATTTAATCATAATTTATTTATTTTTGTTTTTAATGAACTAAAATAATGATTAATTTTGTTATTTACATTTAGACTTAGTTAGTTGTTGTTTTAGATTCTGTCATATAGTTTAGTAGATTTATGTATAATGTCATTTATGCTGTTGAAATTTCAAATAAAAAAAATGAAGTGTTAATCAATTCAAAAATAGACAAATGAATATAAAGATAACCTTTGGAAAACTCAGTTTTGTTAGTGTCTGTGTCTGCGTCACAACAAATCTGGAGAGATTTTCAGATAATGTATGCAGGTGTTTGCTTTAACATCAGGCTCAAGTTTGTCTCAAGACTAGAACAATCCTCTCTTCGGTTAGTCTTTAACATTTGAAGGTGATGCGATATTCACATTCTGATGTGAAGACTTTCAATATTCATGTGCCATTCTTGTAGTCCAACACCTGCGGTCTATGTGATAAGAGCTCCCTCCTTGAAATGCCTGAAGATTGAAGGGTTAATAGAAGATGATTCTTCTGGTCTGATTGAGAATACACCTGAGCTGCTGGGGAAAAATATTATTTATGTTTCTGGTGAAATTTATCTATAAGAACATTTTCAGTCAAAGATATTACATGCCACAGGTCACAAACCATAAAGGAGTGAGTAACCATGACATGAGACAATATGTAAGAAGCAGAGAGAGCTACAACATTGAAGACACACACACACACAGACACCTGCAAGTTTGTCCAAAGATCTAACAAACTCCTTAGGATCTGTGTGGTTTCTTCCTTGAAGGAAGATCCGTTATAATCCATTCTGATACGAGTGAAGATGTTAGTGTATCTTCACCAGAAACATAAATAATATTTTCTGTCACGGAGAGAAGATACACTAACATACTAACTGTAGAACAGAGAGAAGTAAAGAAATAATAAACCTCCATATTAATGTTAACTGTTACAAAATGAAACCTCCCCTTGAATTAAAACCATACATGATCACTCGTTACAGCGAGATCCAAAAAAGAAACATTGCTTGCCTAAACAATACAATACATATCCCACATCCACTCATTAAGTCATCTCCTGCTGCTAAAATCTATCTAGATCAATCAGTATCCTCTCTCTTTCTCTACCTCAAATCTTGATTATAAGGAGAGTAGTAATACCTTCTTTCTGATTCCGAGCCAGGGCTTCTTGCTATTGAACCAAACCCATGATCGTATCTAATGCCACCATACCTTGGAGGATAACTCGACGAAAGTTCGATACCTGGAGGTCCCATAACGCCTCTTAATTGGTGATCTTGATAAGCATGCACTGTGTCTTTCCTCTGTTGCCATCGCCATACATCTGCGTTCTCTGGGATAGGAGCGTTTATACCAGGAAACTCAACTGTCATCTTCATTTGCGGCTCTGAAGAGCTTGCTGCTACTTCCAATATCTCACCGTCCTCAGCCTTTACTTCCCCTTCTTCTTGTTCTTCTTCTGGTGGTTTAGTCTCTTCCTCATCAAATATAGTGATCCCAGAGAGATGATCCTCTTCCACAGCTAGAGATAGAGAGAAGAGACAACTAACACGTGAGCAAAGATGCCTTTTGGTATAATGAATGTGCTGATGACACATAACACTTACCTAAATATCCAGGTGGATATCCAATCTCTCGCATCCTGTGAAGCCACGGAGGAGGGTCAAGTTCCTGGACAAGACGGAGAAGCTCAATTTTCCTTGGTCTAATGAAACTTTCCCATAACAGAGAAGAGAAGTTTGAACCATTACCCCTAGACCAAGAAGCTGACGAGTCTCTGGATCAAGTGAGCCAGGCTTCAAGCCATCATATTTTCCACCTTGAGCGCTCTTATAATACCGAGACGGTAGACGAGACGTTTGATTTCTTTTGCTTTTATGCTGTCTCCGTGCATTACTAACCGCTGATCGATCAAAAGGCTTTGGACATTCTCTCAATGAATGACTGTATGCGCCACAGTTGAAGCAACGTGGAGGGTCATCATCAATAATCTCCAAGCCTCTGGAACAATAAGAGACAAGTAATGTCAATAGAATGCACAAGATAGATACTTAAAGTATGTCACAAGGGAAAAATAAATCAGGTTAATGTACCCTTCCACGTTACTTGAGCCAACGGTTGAATCTAAACCTGTGAATTTTCGGTTATAAAGAGGAGTAGTGCTGCTTTCCACTGGAATAAACTCCTTTAAAGAGTCCTGACCAGTTTTGCAGTCGAACCAAAATGACTGTAGATGCAAGAAGAATGTCTCTATCAGTAAGGAATGATGGGGAAAAAATAACTGAAATTTCAAAGCTTCTATATGCGTTTGGCGACATGTTCACTCACCACAGATGATGTATTCTGCAATCCCACACGCAAAGCAGGAAAATAAGTCTCCTCACCAGATTGCTGTGCTGGTTCTTGATCCTGATCAGATTGGCAAAGAAGAGAACTTTGTTCTGCTTCCCATTCTGACCATTGCTGTAATAAACTTTCCAGTTTCTGCTTGCTAGCTCTGAAAGATGAAGTACCACAGGAATTAAAACAAGAAAAGACCAAAAATTATATCAAGAGACAGTCATGTTTGAACATTCAAATGTTAAGAGTCTTCTTTTTCAACTAACCTTGTTAAATGTTTATAAGTAACATTAACGGAAGGTTGGTGTTCGTTAGAGATTGTTCTAGCTCTTTTAACACCAGTTTTAGCTGATACATGGAATTATGGAAAAAAGAAAGAAAGAAAACGTAATCACATGCATTCACGAGTTAGAGCAAAAATGACTATAGGAACATGTTCAAGTTCAATGTAAATCCTAAAGGGTTCTTGAATCATTAAAAGAACAAAAAATAAGGATACAGCTAACATCCACTTTAACGGTTTCAACACTGACATTTACAGCATCCCTAACTGCTGTTATCGATGAATCCCTTGAAAACTGGCCAGAGACATTTCTGAAATCATCTTCAGTTAGATCCATGTCTTCCTCCATGTCTGACAGAGTTAACAAAACAAAACCAAAAAGCTCTTCGTTACTTGAAACTAAAACAAGCAAACATCAAACAACGCTTTTCCCTTGAGTTGAAAACAGATAAACCCTCTAAAAGCATATACTAAAACAAGACCTTCCTCCTTGCTTATACTAAAACATAAAAGCAAACCACACTAAGAAAAAAAAAGAAGGAAATATCAAAAAACGAAAAGGCTAAATAACTTCCTGAATCAATTTTAACAGAAAAAAATATATGCCTTTTAAATAAAAAGAATGGACCTTTTTACCAGAATTGTGTTCATCTTTCTGACCTTCTAAACCAGAGAAGCTTGAAGTTGCTGCCATTTTTTCTATTAAATCCTAAAAAGACTACAAAATCAATACAATCAGCAATGAACAAACCAAAGACTAAAGAACATATACAATTTCATTCCAAGGAACTCAAAAACAACACTCATAAATCCAAATGTACAGCTAATTAATTAAAAGAATTATCAAGAAACCACTTCTTCTTTAAGAGAATAAGTCTCCAACTAGTCAATTTAATAGCAGCTCATACTGTTTCCCCCTAAACCAAATTAAACCAGCAAGACTCAAAAATTGGTTTACTGAAAAAACTCAAAAGATTTTAGGGTTGAGAATTGGCAAGAACAGTGACAAGCACAGCCCAAGAATCTCTCCACAATAACCTCAATTCGAAACGTATCGCATAAACTAAAACGAGTAAAACCCAGTTATAAAAATTCGAAATTGCAAAAGAAAATGAAACGACACGAAGCTCACAAACCCTTTAGTTATTGAAATAAAAAGTCAGAGGAAGAAAGGTTTCACCTTTTTCAACGGGAAGCGAAAGTGTGGCAGTGAAGAAGAAGAAGAATGATAGATCTGTGGGGGAGAGATGATTCAAAAGAGAGCCCTTTATTTTTCCGCCCAAGAAATCATCATCTCATACGACTAAAGTGCACTGAAAAGCCCATTGGGCCTAAACATGACGGCCCATCTATATTGGACGTTCGTTTATCTAGTCAAAATTTTCAGTGGGGACTTGTGGTGTGATTCAGCATCATTGTTGTTCCATAATCATTATGTTTTTTTTTTTTCCATCATCTTTTTGAAATTATTACGGTAATTTTTGTAACGACTGATGTTTAAAAACTCGGATATAGATTTTACCGAAATAACTCTTATTGTAGTGTCGATGTGATCTTTACCCAAAAAAGACAGAGAACACAAGACCGCAACTCACAAAGCGGCTTACTCACCATGTCTACACCGTTTCAATCTCTTTGTGATGGAGATAAAGTGATCTTGCCAAAAGACTCACAGCAAATAATATTTACATGTTTGAATATAGTTTGCAAACACACATAAGAGCTTATATTACACTTAGATGTGGTACGTCATAATCAAGTATACATATGGTTGAAAATCTAATGTTCATGCACTGAGTTTTTTGTATTAATTATCTTAGACATGAAACCATTAAACAACTAATTTTAGTGAAATAGTCTAAGTAGATTATATAACATTGTTTATCACACTAGACATTTAAATAATACATTTTTAATATAGTTTATGACTAGTGTTACTAATTAGTTCAAATCTGAAAACTAAATATTTCGTACTATTTTTTCACAACATTGAACTAAAATATTATATTTTTATATTAAAAAAATTAAGATTTGTAACTAAAAATAAATCTATCATATAATTATTTTTAACAATGTGATATAAATAGCATACTATAAATATTATAGCTATAAGGCAACTAATGTGATAAAAATATTTTTATTTTTGTGTTATCAATTTTCATATTGTATATAAATGATTCATTAACTACAAATAATAAATTGTGTTAAAAAAACTACAAATAATAAATATTTATTAAAATGAAAAATCAGTAATATATGATAATATAAAATATTATTTTGGAGTTTCAGATTGAGATAAAAATAAAATAAAATGGAACTCTCAAACAACAAATCTGGTTTTGTTGTTAAATATCTAGCCATTCCTCCTTGGTGTTTGAACCAGCCACTACCATTAACCCTAAACAACTGCTTCATCTAATAGAATACGGAGAAGGTAAAAGTGAGTTATAAAGCCCTAGATATATTGCAAAAGCTTCACGTCCTCTACATGGTTTATAGAGACACGAACCCAATAATCCTTAAAATTATCCATTCCGTGGATTTCAACTCTTCTGAATGTATTTCTCTCGATGCTGTAGTAGTAAACATAGAAACATGAAGGCTCCGATATATAGAACGCCGACCATACGATTTCATCCCTATCAGTCAGTACAGCAAAATAAAACCTGGTTTCTTTTTTTTTCTCTTTCTTCTTTCTTTCCTAACCCGCGCAAGTGGGCTAGTTGTGGGACGATGTCCAGCTATCAACAACGAGGGCGGCGATACTGAAAAAAGCTTAGACCATTTATGTTTCTCAGCTTCTACTACAACCCAAAACTCAAAGCATATCGTTTTTCCAGCTACAACACGGTGTGTTGCACAGTTGCACATAATTTACCCTTGTAGTTTAAAAGAGATGACTTATAAATACATAGTAACATCTCCTCGGCTTTGTTAATAAAGCTGAACTTCTCAGACCTAACATCAAAGCAAACTATACCAGTAACATGTTGCACAGTGTCTAAAGCTACATAATACTCCCTCCGTTTTAGAATATTTGTGATTATAGGCTTAAATTATTATCACAAATTAAGTGTCGTTTTAGAGTTTCGAGGCAAAAGAGATGACTTATTAGTTTTATATAATATTCTATTTTTCTATTGGTTAAAAAGTGGTTAGGTGTATAGGTAATTGTGTTTTTATCTTGAAAATGTGTAAAATTAAATGTTTCTTTAATCTGTGTGCAAAAACCTAGAATGTCATATAAAGTGAAACGGAGCGAGTATATAACACCATTGATGCATATCCCATCATTTCGGTGAAAATATTGAGATATAGAACATTCGATCATTCTCCAAGAAAGTTTATGAGTCCCTAAGGTGAGAACTTGATACTCTTGACAATGTTTATAATAATCCCCGGTCATCGACATTAACTTGAATTGTTAGTCAATTGGGTCAAACCCAAGAAAACTGTTGACCACAAATTTAGCATTGGTCTTCACTTGGGGTAGAGTTAAGGATTGTCATGTGCTAGGGTTACATATCACCAACTCGGTTTTACTAGGGTTCCTAAGAACATGTTGAAAACAGAATAAACCGCGGAGAGAACCAAGATTTTTAGAGTAATGATGTATGCAAGGCAACCTCATATGATAATTGGCGGTTAGAACATCTTGACTTTGGACCTGAGGTATCGAGAATAAGAACAACTCCTTATCTTCTTGACAAGAGAGCAAAAGTTGTGGATGAGCACTTGACCTGGTGATGAACAACTCCGTGAAATATTCATGGCGGAGTATGTAAGCCCAAGACTTGGATACACATCGACATCTAGCTATTGACTTCGTCAGCAACCTCAAGAGTATTTCGTTGATGAGATCAATAGGGATCGTCTCTGAGTTTTCAAGAGTATACTCAGTGGTGTGTTGCTGCTGTGTTTTCATCGCAAAATACACTGCTTTCAAGCCCTAGTTTCTCCAAAAGAGAAATATACCAAAAAAAAAACAAGACTTTTGCTCTATTTTCATTTAGTGGTACTTTTATTTCAACACTCTCATGTCATTCATATTTCTTGTGGTCCATCTTGTATTGCTAAAAATATTTTTAGAAAAATTTAGCAGGAAAATCTATAAAACATGTCTCCAGATCTGCTTTCTTCTTGACGATTAAGTGTTATATCTCTTTTTTAACAACTATTAAACGTTATATCTCTTGGATCTAAGACCATGATTAATGGTAGTTTTTAATGGGTTTCTTAAACCAAAATTCATGTGTGGGCCCACATAAAATTAAAAGCCGATCACAAATATCACGAAATAAAAGAGAAATATATGGAAAAAATAGACTTTGGCTCTATTTTTATTTTAGTGGTACTTTATTTCAACACTCTCGTGTCATTCATATTTCTTGTGGTGCATCTTGTATTGCTAAAAATCTTTAGCAGGAAAATCTATAAAACCTATCTCCAAATCTGCTTTCTTCTTGATGATTAAATGTTATATCTCTTTTTGTTTTTAACAACTATTAAATGTTATCCCCCTATATATTAAAACAGAAGTCACTTTAATGAATTTTGCTTACGTGTCATTCATAGGTGCAATGTAGAATTAATTCTCTTAATTTGATTTGTTTGTTGGCATTTGAATTTTTATTTATTTAATTAAAGTTTTTTAAAAGGAAACTAATCCTAGAATTACCTAATCTAATATATATTACCAAACAAACAATTAACCATCTTAAATACATAGGATTAATAGAATTTGTTTATAGAAACGATTAAATATCACATATTCCATTATATAAGTTAGAATATACATATAAATACATATTATATTATAGATATAAGTATATAAACGATTTTAATTTTTTTCTATTAATAGTGGATAAAAAAAAATACATTACAGAAATAATAATATTTTTATACTCACTCACTATATATATGTATTCTTAAAATATGTTCAATGAATGTAAAACAGTCAAATGTAATTTTTTTTTAAAAAATCTATCATTTTCCAGAGATAAATGTCGATAGTATAGTTGAGCTATCACTTTCAAAAATTATTTAAGTATTTTTATATTTAAAACAGAAATTATATGGTATGTCATTTTAAAAAATATGAATAAATAAAAAGTTTATTACAATAGAAAATTACAAAAAAATCAAAAAATTATATTAGTACAAGATTAGAGTTAATATTCTATTCATATAATTCATATAGCTTTAAGTATAATAAAATTGGCATGTTTATTTTTAATAAGAAAAAAAAAGAAAAGAGACATAAATAAAAACATGAGTGAGTAATAATAAAACATTTTGTTGTATTCTTCGTTATTTTGTATTTGTACATACATAATTTTTTATTTGTATACCAAAATATTTTTTACGTATTAATATAATTGTAAACTAATTATTTTTAGGTGTTTATACAACATTAGGAAAACTTGAGCAAGGAAGACAAATATAAATGATAAGTTATAAAAATTTTAATGTTGAAGATGCAAAATATAACGCAAATTAATTTAAAAATAAATTATTTAAAAATAATGATAATTATTTTTTGCGGTGTAATAAACTTTAAAAATATATGATAATAAAGTTATAACAAAATTTATACAACTAGAAACATGTTATATTGATATATTAAAACTGTTGAATCTCATGTTTATATTAATCTATGTCTAAAATAATGACATCACATCATTTAAGAATTAAGATATTTTATGTTATATAATTATTTAATCAAATTTACTTTTTCGAAATACAGTTATTTAGATTTACTTAAAATATGTATGTAATGAAGTAATTAAAAAAC